TGCTGCTGAAGAGTCCTATTACAGCTCATCGATTAATAGGCACTTCACTTTCAACCACTGAGTCACAGGTTCACCTACTACGAAGGATTGAGCAGCCAGGTAGTTTCATTATCCCTCATCGCCATTTGCATGGAAATGTAAGTGCTTGTTTAGAGTAACATTCCATTTCTTTTTAAAAAGTTTTTAAATAGTTACTGGACTATTCATTGGAGTTAACAACGCGAATACTTGAACTACAATTTAAATAATAGTAATAAATTGTTTATTCTGGACAGTACTTCTTTAATGTATAGAATTTTCAAAGGGGTTTATTGCATGATATTTCCCTTTCGTACAATATCTCTAAGTAAAATATTAATTGACAGTATATCCTGTGACACAATGGTCTCTTATCTGAAGCACAAACCATTCCATTATGATATATCTGCTTTGTCTCCTTCAAGAAATCCACGATACCTAGTTGAAAGCCAATTGTGAGATGTTCAGAAGTACATTTTGAGAATCAAGGACATAACTGAAGAACAGTTATCTCATGTATTGGAACACGTTACCACCCACAATCAGGCCTTTCCTCAAGTTTAGTGAGAACTTGCGAATAACAAGCTTGTAAACATTTCAAATACACACTAGAGTATACAATGCCATTATAGGTCATATGTTAATCTATTAAAACAAAGCGAACGAGAGAAAATTTATGCAATAGAGAGATAGAAGCTTTTCGTAGCCCAAGGTTTAAGCAAGCCGCCAGTATCTTTATACATTTCAATAAATAATTAACATGCTGTTCATCCAGTTAATGACTGTTTGTGTTTAGTGAACCTTGTAATTCTATGCTCTATTATGTTTTAACTAAAGTATTGCTTTTCTTTTCTTTCTGGCATGATTCCATAAATTGGAATGACTACTCCCTATTATTTATATAGTTTATTTGACTTTTACGGCAGGCACTGTATTTTTGAGTATAATCTGAGCAATGTCACGTTTCTGGTATTTCTAACTACTTATTATCTCATTGATTCATATCACTTTTTGGACACAGTTTGAAGTCACGTATTGCTAAAATGGTAGTTTAATCGATTTTTATCTGTTAGTGGTAAAATTTCTCACCAGAGGTTTATCTCTCTCTCTCCCTCTTCTCCTCCTTCTCAGTATTGGTCACACACATTGAGGATGATAGTAAACAGTTTGTTTAGTTAGTTAGCAATAAACACATTACTCATTTACGGTCAACATCTGAATTTGTATTACATTTTTGGTTTCGATATATTTCCCGATAGAGAGCACTACTCAAAGTGTTTTTCAATGATAAATTTCATTAACGGATGTCCCAATGAGTTACCCGCCTTGTTTAGTAGGCTCATAATAACTCTAATTTACAGACGGTAATGTAGTAATACAATATACAATGTCGACTCATGATGAAATCCTCCAACCAATCAAACAAAAATCCCTACAAAACTAATACTTGAAAATTGATCTGATGCTCCCTCCCGACTGGCCCTATTCAGGAAGTTACCTTGGGTCCTAGTTGGAAGCCGTGATGAGTAGGGTACAACAGGCTGAAGGTGAGGCAGTTAATCATCGAAGAAGACATTGCGAAAGTGGTTGCACTATGTAATGAATTGACAGAAGTTAGAATTCATGGACTGGCAAATGGATAGGGTCCCAGTGACTTAATGGTCTTCGAGCAGGCTGACCTTGTAACCAGAATGTCCTGGGTTCGAATCCTGGTGGTGGGTGCGTACTTATGCGGAGTCCCAAACTAGTGGGACAAAATAGCTGTCTGGCAGTACTCCCTGTTGGTTTTCCAATGGCTCTCTAACTGATATCAGCTCATTATAAAATCCTCCAACCAATCAAACAAACAAAACTCCCCACAAAACCAATGCTTGACAATACAATATAGTTGTTAACACCTATGCTTTAAAAGCTACAGTAATAGCTAATACAGAATGGTATTTCTCACTAATTTAATAATTCCAACTGTAAGATTAAGAACACAATATTCAGCGAAAAGACTCTTTTCAACGAATTTGTTATCAAGCTGTACAATCGTTTATATATGTTTTTTTGCATAAAGTTAGATAAGATGAAGAAATTGAATTAAAGGTGTGAATACATGAAATAATAATAGTAGTACGAAACGCAGTTAAAATATTTGTGATTGTAATCATAGTTAAATGTCAAGTGGCAAAACAATTAATGTCATATATAGAATAATACATAAGGTGTATAGATGTTGGAAAGGGTTGTATAATTATAGGTTGGTAGGCTAATATAAAATGTTACATAACATGGTGTGAAATTTGATAAAATAGAATTCAACATTGTAATTTTTTAGATTTATAATGACAAGTGGGACAAGTGGAAACAATTCAAAGTGAGAATAGTTACAATACTAATAATAATCGTAGTAAGGAGAGAAAGGTACATAGATTAACTAAATGAACAAAATAAATAAATAAATGTCTGTCCCTCTACAGCCAGGGCAGAAGTATGGATTGCACATACTTCTTTTGTACACAAAGGTTTGGCTTGAATTTATGAATTGCCAAGGCCTCCGCTGTCTTTAGAAGTCTGTAACGAAGAAAACGTAGCAAGTTAGCATGGATTCCATAGATGATCTTAAAATCATGTTCAGGGTTGGTAGAGTGACAGGAGTCGGTCAAGTGTTCTAGAATACAGCTTCGCACACACTTCCTTTTGCCGTTGTAAAACGATTCTGCTGGAATATGTTCTCGTATGCATGCGGAAAGCGTTCTCTGGCTATGGCCAATGTACCTTGCTCCAAAACAGCAGGTAAACTGATAGATGCATATGGAGACGGTCAGACGAGGGAGCTTATCTTTTACAGAGATGGAGAACAACTTGCGACTGGCGAACGTCATTTGTAATTTTGCTGTAAAGAACGTGTTACTGACTGATTTAGAGGGACGGTTTTTGAGCATATCTGAAGCTTGACCACCTCTGCATTCCAAATTCATGAGAATAAGGTTCTGTTTGGAACTGAGTCGGTGACCAGTTTGGACTGCTTATCTTTCGTGTTTCTATCAATAAATCGGTTCGAGTAATCGAGTGAAGTTCAATCCGTTGTATTTTTGACTACTTATAAAGTATAGTAATAATCACACAATTTTCAAAATTCTGATCATACTTCATTGAGCATTCTGTTCGCAGAGAGTGCTTCCCTAACCGAAATGCAGTCAGTACACACAATACAGGTGTCTTTCATTACCTTTTATACGAACCTAAGCGAACTTGCAAAGTTATCTAAATTATAATCTTTTTTTCTTAAAAGAAAGTGAATTTGTTTTACTAAATTAAAGTTCCATTTTTACTCCACCCTTTCTTCAATATTCTTCTGGTTGTGACAATAAGTTTTGTCTATTTTTATCCTCATATTTATCTTTCCTGGTCATTGTGTATTCAGTGTATTCTTTGTTGACTGAGTAAAGAATGGCATATCTTCTTATCTAGATGCAAACACATAGCCACTTATTAAGTTATATATGCACATATATATTTTCAAGTATTGGTTTTGTAGGGATTTTGTTTGTTTGATTGGCTGGAGGATTTCATCATGAACTGACATCAGTTAGAGAACCATTGGATAACCTGCAAGGAGTACTGCCAGACAGATGTTTCCCCCTTCCTAGTTTGGGACTCTTCCGTAGGGGTTCGAACCCTCAATCTTGTAGTTACAAGGCCAGTGAGCTCGTAGACCATGAAGTCACTGGGACCCGACCCAATGGGCAATCCATGAATTCTAACTTCTACCAATTCATGACAAAGCGCAACCACTTCTCGATGTCTTCTTCGGTGAGTTACTGACTCACTACTGGTCACGGCTTCCTACTAGAACCCCAGATTAACTGTCTGAATGGGGCCAGTCGCTAATGAACATCAGGTTTTCCAATGGTTCCCTAACTGATGTCATCTCATGATGAAATCCTTCAAACAATATATGTTCCTTACTTTACGTCGATGGTTCAGTGGCAGAATGCTCGCTTACCACGCATGCAGTCGAGGTTTGTTTCCCAAAGGAGACACCACGAAATCTCGTTTAGCTGGCAGTAAGCCTGGTTTAGAGGAAAGGTTGGGTGCGGGGCTAGCAACCCCATCCCCTTAAAAAATGCACACCCACTGCAGAAACTTCAAACCTCAAGCTTGATGGCCTGTATTCCACTAGGGACTCACAGAAATGAAGTAGAAAAAGAAGAAATCCAGCACTGAACTATTAGAATGAAATTTCTGGTATAATTTATTTTTTTGGGTTTTGTCAAGATCCGATGAGATAAACTCCTAATGAATGCTGATTCAGTGTTCAGTGGGGGGGGGGGGGAGTGTTTCGCAATCTGAGTAGTTATATTTAGTTTCAAAAGTCACAAATGCATATAAGCAAAGATTACAAACAACAGCGTTTTTAGAAAATGACTAATGGGTAGAATTGATTATCATTTTCCTTTGTTCATAATGGCTAAATGCATTTAGCGTATTCAGCACACCTGTCCAGATAATTTGTGTTATTCATCTACATGAAATCGCTTGTTATTTTTTAAAATTTTGCTAACATCTTTCATGCAAAAAGATTTGTTGATTGTTCCATAAAGTAATTTAAGACAATGTACCAGACTTTTATGAAGAGTTTCTGTAGTACAGGTTGTTATAATTATAATAATAAGACCGATGGTATTTACCATTTACTGATGAATAGTGTTCGATGCTCATTAGCTCGACTACTTCACTTGAAACTTGTTTAATGAGTCATAATTACAGACTGTAAGTGGAGGGTACTTCTGTTTATCCGGTGGTATGCACTCACATCAATAAGCTACAGTTATGTATTTCTAGGTTAAACTTACTGCTGGTCGTTAACTGTCACTTGAAAATGTTAGATTATATTCATAGAAGGGAAAACCGGTTGTTAAAACACAACTTTGTGCTCTTTCGTCTAACTTCCTTAACTTCTCCCCTTTTATCTTTTGTTTTAAAACTTACAGTTCACTTTTACCAGCGGCTGCTGAATTAGAATATTTGAATGTGGTCCGTTATCTGGATCACTATGGTGTAAAAAGTCATGTGGTGAAAGTAAGTCATATTGAAATTTGGTATTCATCTATCAAACACACTTTTTTTCGCATTTTGTGGATTTTATGATCGTATATATTGAGCATCATACTTTGGGCCAATAAAATGACCCTAAAATATCTGGAGTTCGTGTATCATTCACGTCTCGTATTCCACAAAATTGAAGACAAACACGCGAAAACCAAAAAGCAAACAGAGGAAGCATGGAAGATAAGACTTCTGGTGAACAAAGAGAAGGCGCAGGTGATGAAGATGTTTACCCAACAACAGCAAACACCAATCACCATAAATGGGAGAAGACTAAGGGAATTCGTCACCTTCATTTGTCTCAGTTGTGCAGCGCCATTTCGAATACAGGCTGATTTTGCAGATGAGGATATCAGAGCCAACCAGGATAGGCTAAGGAATGCAAGACATGCAAGCGTTCAGTGCTCTGGAATCAGTGTGTAGACTGCGTCAGTTATGCAAGTGGGCAGAATGCCTGAAGGGAAAACAAGTTTTGACTTGTTTGGTACCGTTAGTTTACCAAAAAGTAGGGATGAAATCAGTCCTTGGGTTCCGAGTGGAACGTAGGGCTTCAACGATACATCTCCTTTTTCTTCTATTTTCTGCTCTCCTCTTCAGCTGGGTCCACGATTGACCGTAATCTCTCATCTCTATTTCACTTTCGGACTATCCACTTGTCACTGCTCACTCGGTTTCCCCTCGAGTGATGGCCTGGCTCTCGATTTCACTCCACAGCCTCTTCAGCGACTGTACAGTCTATCTCCAATTTCTCCAGCATATTTGTTGATTAATTCGTTCCCAGAGCTTTATGTTGCTAATCCTTTCCGGCTATTTCACCAGCCAGAGAAGGCAGCTGTTGATAAAAGTCCGCAGCTGCTTGTTGGAAATCCTTTCCATGACACTCAGTGAAAGTTTCTGACCTGTATATAAGAACTGACTGATTGACTAAGCATTTGTGTTGAAAATCCGAATCTTGTTGCTTATGCCCACTGAAGTGAAGCAGAAGATTTCCGAACTGGTATCAGATTGGTGTAGGCATATCCTGCCTTACCGATTCTGGCTGACTTTGACATCTTCATCCGTCCCTACTTTCTGTGTTTGAAACAATGCTCACTGCCTAGATAAGTGAAGAAAGTAACATCTGTCAAATCTCTCCAGTTGATGGTGATTGCTGCTGTTTGTTGTTGGTGTTGCTGTTGGTGGTGGTTGGTTGGTTATCTTCATCACCTCCGTCTTCTCTACATTCACATGCAGTGCTGCCAGCCGGCCTCTTCTGCCAATTTGTTGGTTTTCGCCTGTAAGTCTTCGAATTAGTGTAACATTAAACATAAGTCATTGGTGAAATCCAGATCTTCTTATCGGTCGAGTGTATTTCCATCTTCTCACTCCCGCGCACAGTCTGACGCATAGTCCAGTCCACCACAATTAGAAATATCATCTTTGCTGATAACAGGCAGCCTTGTCTTACTCATGTATTCACTTCAAAAGCTTTACTGAGTTTTCCCTTGTGGATCGCCTGACACTTGGCATTGTCATATAGCCAGCTATCGAATGAGGTTGATAAAGATTTGAGGCACTTAATTCTGTAGTGTTGAAGTAGTTTCCAAATAGCTTCGTGGTCAGCACTGCCTGTCGAAGGCCTTTTGGAAATCGATGAAGTTGAGATAGAGGTTAGACTGTCATTCCATGCTTTGTTCGATGATGATGGGTAGAGTTGCAATTTGATCAGCACATAATTTGCCTTTCTTGAATCGGGCTGATTCCGGTGTGTGAGGTTCTATATCCAGTGCACCTTTTATCCTCTCCAGGTTGACGCAACTTAGTATTTTATTTGATGTGGACAGGAGGATGATTACACGGCAGTTCTTGAAGAGACGTAAGTCTTCTTCCTTTGGTAGCTTGACATAGTAGCCTTCCTTCCAGTACACAGGCACCTTTCTTTCTTCCCAAACCTTTTGGAATATTGGTGTGAAAACATCTGCCGCAGTCTCTGGGTCCGTTTTCAGTGCTTCAGGTGGGGGAATTTCCGTTTGGTCCTACTGCCTTTCCGGACTTCATTAGCTTGATCCCAGGAGACGTGTTGGCGACATATATATATACATATATATATACATACATATATATATATATACAAATGAATGGTGCTGTTCTATCTGAGATTCGAATTCACTGCCCATTATTTCAAACACCAAAGGGTTACCACTAGTCTACTGATTCGCTTGTCTGATATACGCTTTAAATAACTCTACCAAACCCTGCTATAACTAATTTATGTACATATATGTACAGGTAATACTACTGAATAAAAACTGTGAAACTTCAGTAAAATGTTATTAGACATTAATTATCCATTAAAGTGCATTAAATTCTATGATAGTGTCAAACATAAGACTCCGCCAATGCATTTATCTTTCCTAAAGGATTTGTTTTTATGTCATTTAGCTGTCTAATGAACAAAACTATTCAGGGTGGTGGATCTTTGTAGGGTCTACTATGTATCCGGGCTCATTTACATAGAGGAAATGAAATTAATGTTGTCCTGTAAACAACCACACAACATTCGAACAATAATGCCATATTCCGTATATGTTTATCAGTTAACATGTATGTTTTGTCACACGTACATAGACAGGACCCACCAGTCTTGTCAATTTAGAGCTATAAAACACATTTCTTATTTGGCTGAGAGAACAAACGATGTCACTGAACTCAAATGATCCTGGAAATAAGCGTCCAACGATGTCTATTGCAAAGGATATCGTTGAGACAGGTTATAAAGATGATTTTAACGCTGCTTTTAAACTCATGCACAAGACAAGTCTGATGCGCAGATGCTCATCGTCAGCGGTAAAACCAAGTTTTTCTATTATGATAAAAGTGGCTGTATTTATACAGAAAGTAAGGTAGACTGGAAATCAACCAATCCGGTTGAGAGTTGAAATTGTGCAAGCGTCCAATCAGAAGCAGGAACAATTGCATGTCAACGACTTGTTAATAACTCGATAATAACTTGACTGAGACCTGATAATTGCATGTGTTTTGCCTCTTCCTAACAGAGATGACACCTGTGTTGAATTTATTTTATATTACCTAATATAATTCAAACTGAACAGTCATCAGTTACTCAGTCAAAATTGTAGTAGTAATAATAAAGTATTGTGCTCATCAGTTTTTGAGAGATAAGCTTTGACAGATCTAGTATTCAGGAAGAATAATAAGCATTCTTCAAGTCAATGTCCTTGAATCTCATGTAATTATTTTGATTGTAGTATTATAAATTCCTAGATGGTGATGCAGCATACCCATCACTGATTTATGGTTCCGTTATCAAAGTTTGTTCATATATATTACAAGATTATGCGAACTAAAATTTCTCCGTAAGAATAAAACGGTTACCCTTTAACTCTGAAGGAATTACATTAAGTGGCTTAGTCAACAGAATGTCAGAGAATGTGTTAGGCTTCGAATTCACTTCTAAACAGTAGGAATTATGTAACATATTTAAAAGGATTAGTTTGTAGTGATCGGCAGTCCACACCCTACAAACTAATTATTGAAAACTAATCTTATGCTCGCTAGTGATTGCCTACAGGACGAAGTTGCCCAGAGTACTAGTGAGAAGTCGTGACGAGTGAGGTCCATCCAGTTGGGAGTGATGACGGATTTCCCACTGATGGCATTGGTTGGTGGTCGCACTGAAAATCATGAATCGGTAGAAGTTAGAATTCATGGACTGGCCATTGAATCGAGTCCCAGCGTCTGAATGGTACACGAGGTTGCCTTGTAACCGGGAGGTCCTGGATTCGAACTTTGGCAATGGGTGCGTACTGCCGATGATTCCCAAACTAGGATGAAACAGCTGCCCAGTACTCCATGCTTGTTTTCAGTGATTCTGTAACTGATATCAGTCCTTGGTCTAACCTGGAATCATATTTTACTTAGACAAACAACTGTAAGATGGATTTTAAGTTTCAAGTAATATCTTTTACACTCATTAAATTCAGTGTGGTTACAAACAACTCTGTGCGTTGGAGGCACAGAGGTAGAATGCTCGCCAACCATGCAGTTGATTCAAGGTTTTGATCCCCAGCCTACGCACTCCTAAACCTCACTAAACCAGTAATAAAACTGGTAAAGAGGGAAGGTTGGGCATGAGGCTAGCAACCCCATCCTGTAAAAATAAATAAACACCACTGCTACCGAAACTTCAAGCCTCGAGCTTGAAGCCCTATGTTCCACTGGGAACGTAAAGAAATAAAGTATTATTAATACAAGCAATTCTATATAGTTGTAAAATTCCACCTTATAACTAGCCTAACTGGTTACATTTTAATGCTCTGAAACGAGGACTAAGGAGATATGATGGCCAAATTTAGAGCGTATTGTCCAACTATTCAATACAAGTTTGAGCATATCTGCTGAACTTCTGCTGAAGTTGATGCCGTTCTATCGTAGCGGTACATCAACTTAAATACAGGATTATTCTCCTTTAAAATGGAGATGTATTAAACTGGACAGTGCCCTCATCATTTACTATTCGTTAGTATATCAGTACATCACGGTTGATATCTAAGCACCGAATGCAATAATGACGCAACGTTTACATAATTAAGGATGACGCAGTGTATTACTTTATAATACATCTCCAATGGATTCTACACATAACTGACAAAGAGGTTATTAAAATTCAAATTGAACAGAAATCCTAGGTCAACAATGTTGGACTTCTTGACTAACTATCTGACAGTTATAAGCACTCCTAAACCCAACATTCTTTTCATCCACTTGTCCTGTTCTTTTATGTGTACATTTATTCCAACCAGTTTATTGTTGGAGATGTTAAAGTCTACTTGAGTATCTCCTTATATTTCACTGTCTAATCGGTAATTCTTGTCCATCGATCAAGTTAATTACCTCTCATTGTTTGTATGTAAATTAAGTGAACTGAACCTAATTTTGGAGTTTACTAATTATCTGAATTAGGTAGTACTAACAGTTACCTTGCTTAAATGTCTATTTAACAGGATTTTTGATCATTGAGTTACCTTGTTCATTAATAAAAAAAGAAGAGAATGTAAATTAATTTAGACTGAAGCTTGCTTAGAACAACTCATGATGAAGATGACAGATTTTAAAAGAAAAATGACCTGATATTCAAGTGGCTTAGATAATTCAAGATCTAATTATTCTGATGTGAAAAGTGCATGCATATCATTTTGAAAAGTTCTTGTTTATATTGATTGGTCACTAGGGTGAACAACCAGTATCGACTATCTGAACCTTGGTATCACTGCTGGCTGGATTCTGTCATTTAAGACTGCAGTATCGCTACTAAGGTAGATAACTCAATATCACAATAATTGGAGGCAGGCATGATGAATCGCTTGAACAACATTACTTGCTTATTTCGAACTCGTCAGAAGGATGTTTCTACAATCTTGAAGGAACTCTTGTCCCTTTGGAGAATTCCACCTACTGCTTCCAACAATCTAACATCAGTTCAAAGTTCCTGTGTGTGTCTGTATGTATGTGTCTTGGTCGACACTGTTTGCACAGCATTCAAAGTTTTCATGGAGAAGTACAGTTTATTTAGCTAAAACTGAAGTCCTATTCATTAGCCCTATGCTTTCTTATTTCTAATGTCTCACTGATTCCCTTCATGATTCTCTTATTTGATTCATAAAAGAAACTTTACGTTCGAATCCAGTTTACATTTGAAAGTTCAAGGGGAGAAACAGCACTAAAAATGATAAACAAATACCTAGTTACGCCGGGAAATAGGGTAACCATGGTAACCTTTTGATTCTTTTCTAGCCAGGTAAATTTCCCATGTCTTCAGATACTGGTTTTTCTTACGCTACAACATGGTTGTCTATACCAAGTTCTATTCTTTGAATACAAACCTTTATAAACCACTGAATAATCTTTCTATTAAGGTACACAACATAGTGATGAACCCCCTAACCTTGAGCATTTTCTAAGTCTTAAATCCACAAAATATGACTTCGTGCTAGGTCTTTTCTTTGAAAACAGGTGTCTCGAAAAATAAAATAATAATAATAATAATTAGACACAATATTATCGATAGTCAGATAGCGTAGGATGTGTTGTAGACCAGTATTGATTTGTCATAAATTTCTAAACATAATTTTTTTTATTATTTCTCCTAATTATTTTATCACATTCAAGGAGTTGGGTTCTTTTTTTTTGTGGACTAATTCATGGATAACTCTTTATTGCCTAAAAAGGAAAAAAAATAAAGAATACCATTTTCTGGAAACCAAACCCTACCTAGTTGATCATTATTCCAAATATTTTGTATACTGATCAATATTTCTAATCACTCGCTTATGCCATGAAAGAAAAGCTTTGCTACAGACGATACATATATACATTTCATGAATTGATAAGTCAAATATTGAGCTATTTAAGTAGTATAAACTGACTCGCGAAAAGTTTCAAACTTTGTATGCATGTGTGTGTGTGTTGTCAACACGACTAAATGGAAATTATTTAATTATTGAGATATTACTGTACATCGAATTGAGAGAAATATTCTTGAAGCTGTACGATACATCATTCAAAAGTTTCTTCAAGACTATTTTGTGAAACTACATCGATTGAGATGACTAGGACACGTGCTACACCTGTTAAGCCACCACCGTCTTCAACAGGTTTTACTAGTTGACATAGGATTTGATAGGGAAAGGGTCAGGGGTAGTCGAACCAAATCCTGGTATCAATACATGAGGTCTGTACAGTTGGTTTGAGCTATGTAGAGAGATTTAGACTGTCTCGTTGGAGTCCTTGAAGTTCTAAACACCAATAGCTTGAGACTGTTGGTGATATAGCTCAAAATTGCCTTCATTGACGCAGATGAACTCATTCTTTGTAGTTTCTCAGATAAATTAAATCCTCAAGAATTGGAAACATTTATTTCCCTATACGAATTTAAAACAAGCAATAAAGGTTAAGAAAGCTGGATTTAATGAATTCATCAAATGTCGGTAGAACTCGTCAGCTGAATACTCTACATACACGGATATATATACTTTTGAAATTACATTGGGAGATATAAGACTGATAAGTAAACAAACTACATTGAGTGCAAAGTGCCAAAATCCTCAATAACAAAACATCTTGTGGACTACGGACATGATATCGACGCGGTCAAGTCATTCACTATTGTCAGCAGACAAAGAAACAAGAAGATGCTTGCAATTGCAGAGGCTTGTGCAATTCGAGTTTATAAACCAGGTCTCTGTGTACAAAAGGAGATGGTCGTGACTCTGAATCTACCATGGTAGTACGTTTTACTTATTATTCTACCTCTTATTATTGTTGTTATCATTATGATTATTATTCTTGATTCATTTAAAACTATCCTTTATCAATAGCATTATCTTAACTCACTTCAACACTATTATTATTTATTGTTATTATAACTATTACTATTGATATCACTCTGTTTGCAATTCTTGTTATATTCTCTAATGACTAATTGTTTATCTGAGTGATGTAATTGAAGCGTAATGCAATTTATCTTAATTTTGATCTCTCATACTCTCTCTCCCCTTATCTATTTGAACATGACCTGGAAAACATTCGCACCTGTCTTTCTGCATGACTAATTCAATGTAGTTTATTTACTTATCAGTCTTATATCTCCCAATGTAATTTCAAAGTATATATCCGTGTATGTAGAGTATTCAGCTGACGAGTTTTATCGAAATTTGATGAATTCATTAAATCCAGCTTTCTTAACCTTTATTGCTTGTTTTAAATTAAATCCTCATCTACTTCCAGGTTGTTACTTTGTTTTCCTGTACATTTTTGCAGATTAAAATTCTTTTTGAATTTGTTTCTTTCCTATACTTTGTGGGCTAAATGAAGCGTAGCAACTTGAATTCTTAGACTTTTGGATACATTTCAAAACTGAAAGACAACCAGAGTCAGTCAAGAAAAATTCACCTGTGAATTCTTTAAGATGCATTAAGATTAATATGTAAATTTTTTAAAATTTCTCTTCTTTTTTTCTCCTCAATATCTTTCACAAGGATGAACAACATGATCTGCAAACAGTAACTATTGGAGTATCTTTCATAGGAATAAGTTTGTTTCGAGAGAATAAACTTCTTCAACAATATTCCTGGTAAGTATTTTAAACCTTACAACTTGGATTTATGAGTAACTTTATGTATTGTGATTCATTTATAGAAAATATGATTTAAGGTATTTGGGTTGATGTTGACGAGCAGTAGAATCCAGGATGGGGCTAGTCAGATGAATGTGCCTGCATTCCTAATGAGTGACGTTGTTCCAATTGAGACTCGAACCCTGTATCCACTGTTTCAAACGAAAAACGCTGATTCCACTTACCATCAACGCCGATAACATCACGTGGAGCCCCCAGACATCATCGAAGCGTCCTTACTAGGAGCTGACATTTCAAGAGAGACTGAGAATTTCGGTCTGACATAACCAATTAATGGGAAACGCAAAATTAACTTAAACAAATATATAATTATTTGAGGTAATTGTTCTGAAGGAGAGAACTTTAGGCTTGTAGGAAGAATTTTATAAAAGATAATGAGGTAAATTGAAGAAATACATAGCTATAGAAGACTAGTGCTTTTTTATGGGTTATGATGTTGATTACCGCATTAACATCAATGTAGGAGACTTTTAATAGAGAGTTCGCTAACGGTACAAAATATCAGAATAAAAATACACGTTTATGAAATAATATTGTAACAGTATATTATAAAAATATACTTAACGGGTTATAGAAATTAATGGTTACTTGGTGATATAGTTAAAGTTCGCTACCTCAAATTATTAATATAATCCACAGAAGCGTTCACTGCCGGAGTCGTGTTCACTACTAGAAGGTGTGCACCGGTTGTAGAATAGCCTTGGGATGAGGATGAGAGGTTCCTTCAAAATCCAAAGGATACAACACGGTTAGTAGTGAAGCAAGTAGACAGTATGGACCGGTGAGAAGACAAAGCGTCGAGAAGTTATGTATATTTTACAATGAATCGTTTTAAACAAAAGTTATGTACAATGTTTCCCTTTTTTAACATCTAACAATTATATTGTTCTAGACTCCACACCCTTTAGATTTTCTAGTGGATTTCTATCGACAAGTTGAAGTAATTGATTTGTGAATGTCCACGATCATGCATTCATCTTTTTATATTTTTACTTTTAATAGAGGTAGATTATAATAGTGCACATGCTTTTATGTACTATTGAAAGATTCATTCGAAATTTCTTGTCCCAGTTAGATAATATCGATGAAATGGATAACTTCTTCTTATTTAATCTATTTTATGTAGGACAAATGTTAGGGTTTTGGTGTGAATTAGATGTTATGAATAAAAATCCTGTGGTTTAAGTGTTGTTATTTTATTATAGGTAGACGAATAACTAAGTAAACCCACTATTTCGGCTAGCGCTCGCGCTATGTCGTAAATCGGCAGAAGTTGGAATTCATGGGGTATTGTGTTGGGTCCGGCTGGTTTAATCGTCTACGAGCTCGCCTTGTAACCAGAAGGTTCTGGGTTCGAACCCTGGAGGTGGGTGCGTACTGCCGAAGAATCCCAAACCAGGACGGACAGCTGTTTAGTACTCCCAGTTAACTTCCCAATGGTCCTCTAACCGATGTTAGCTCATGATGAAATTCTGTATCCATTCAACTAAATCCCTACAAACCAATACTTGAAAAAGTAGAATACTTGAATCATCACTGAAGAACAACCATGGGTTGAAGCTACTTATTCTGGATATCTGGTATACTTTACTTCTTAATGTTGTTCGTGTGGAAACAGAAACTTTGTAACGTTTATGGTATAGGCGGAAGCCAAGTGAAGTGATACTACGACTTGAATGTGTTAGATTCTGATTCAACTTCTTGTGTAGCTGGCTGTAAGTCGATCCTGAAATTGTAAGATTGTACACAAAGTATTGACATTGAATCGTTGGAGACAATCAACAGGAAGCCTTCCAATTAGGTTTCGTACTAGTTGGCACTCAGCAGTCAAGTCGCATCTGCGACCTCGTATGAACTCATTTCCCTTCTGAGATTCGAACCTGCGTCACCCAATGCTGCAGTCAGAGACGTTACCACTGAGCTATTCGGGCTCGTGATTGACCTCCTGTAGCACTATATTGGATGCTTTTGATTGGACAGTAGTCAGTAACTAGTTTAATATGTCTAATATGTACGATAAATTCTGAAACTTTATCTCTGAAATTGCAGAATGTATCTGCAAATTTGCAAATATAATTTATACTACTTGTTAGTAGTAACCATTTTTGTTTCAAAAAAGTTATGAGTGCAAGAACGGCGTACTTCACGCTTCTCTTAACCTTAATCGAGTAAAAGGCAAAATAAATAACCGATTTCTGTCTCCACTATCCCAAGGGCTGTTTCAGGTAGTTTCAACGCATTTTAACCTCATATGAGTATATTTATAGTTGTTTCTGACAAAACAGACTTATCAATGTGCACATAAAATACATGGGTATGAAAATTATATTAACAAGACGAATGAACTTATTCCCGTCAGACTCCTTTTGAATTTATCTTTATTGAAAAATTTCGCGGTAAATACAGTGCCTTATTCCCTTTTCATGCTAAGTTGACTTTTCAAAAGAAAGGGGTTCTGATGAAATACGTGAACTGACCCACTTCATTAACAGCTAACTGCTTGTACTTATATTTTGACAGATTTGTTAAGTTTATTGATCGAATTACGAATTTAAAAGATAATTCGGTAGAGAAAATCTTCTTCGCTGAATTGTCTGTTATTTTCTTCATGAATTAATTACGAAATTGTATAAAAGGGTGTTTTGTATCAGCTTTTAAGAATTGAAACATAGCAATTAAAAATGATTTAGGCTAACAAGGAAACATTAACCTATCAACTCTCTTCGGAAGTTTCTGAATGCTTTGCAGTTAAACTTGTAGCGTGATGCAAACTGACAGGAAGCAGCCAAAATTGAAATCAGCGTTTTAAGTCAATGGCTGCAGAGGTAGAAGTGTTTTTCTGGATTTAGTTTACGTTGTGGAAATGAAATGACCTCAGGATTTCATCATGAGCTGACATCGGTAAGAGAACCATTGGAAAACCAGCTAGGAGTACTGGACAGCTGTCTCGCCTAGTGTGCGACTCTTCACCAGTACACACCCGTTGAGGTTCGAACCCACGACCCTCTGGTTACAAGGCCAGTGAGCTCGTAGACCATTAAGCCACTGGGACCCGACCTAATGGCCACTGCATGAATTCCAACTTCTGTCAATTCACGATGTAACGCGACCACTAGCGAATGTCGTCGGCGTGTATTTGTCCTCACACCCGACCTTCTGTACCCCATTGGTCACGACTTCTCACTAGAACAATGATATGACCTCACTGGACAACTTGCTTAACCTTGGGCCGATTGTCAACCAATCACGACAATTTATTCCCCTGTGACCTAGCCGAGCTCTGATATGGCTAAGAATGTATCAATATGATGTGTTTTCCATCAATAAAGGTCCGTTACCAAGTCTCTTATCATCTCCCGTTACACGCTGATCACTTCAAATCTTCAACTTTTACCAAGAAATTACTTTTTAGTAGATTAAGGTCACTAACAGGTCAATATGCCACAAATATTTCCACATTCTTCTTATATTCAGACAATTAACTCAATATTCATCAATATGTTATTCCTTTAAAGCATGTGATTATTTGTCTGGGATACTGTTTTACTCACTCTTTCCATTATTTAGTTATATTCTGACCCAATAGTTGAGTGGTACTTTGTTAACCTGCAAACATGCAGTTCTGAAGTTTGTCCTTCACAGAGTTGTGGGTTGTCAACTGAGTCTTAATTTGCCGATTGACTTGATTGCTTCACTTTTATTCAGTGCATCGCGGACAGAAATCCAACTTCATCTACTTATATTTGGACAATGGTACTGCTCACAGACCAATAGGAAGACTAGGTACCTGGTATTATAGTAGGGAGGTTGTTTTTCTCATTTGAAACGTATTAATAAACTACATTTTGAACATAATAAATTCATCTGAATATCTTTTCTATATTTGAGGATAGTAAGCTCTTGGTTTGATGGCAGGCACAAGGAAATAGCCATATTCATCCATTTTCTTATATAAATTTGTTGAGCCAATAATACAACGGGGTAATAATTCATTGCCCACTAAGAAAGGAGAGATTAACAAACAATAACACTGAATGTAATAGTTATTGTGTAACGAAGGCTTTAGGTTTTGTTCTCAGTGGCCTTTAAGTCTATTCATATTACTGGACATATTCTTCTAAGTATGGTCTGTATTAAATAATGTTTCCTAAAACGTAGTAACTAATTCCAGTTACAATGAAGCTGACGTAATAGTATCATGAGCGTCTTTGTATATTTTAGTTTTAACAGGCACCACTTATAATAGAGACAATAATTATTTTCCTTAAACTGAAATGTTTCAAGTAACAATTCAGTTTTTAACTAATCTGTTAATTAATGTACTGCACTTATACTATCAGAGTATTTTGGATTAAAAGATTTTCATTATTTTAGCCATTATTTTTCTATTTAAAGAGGAAAACTACTGATTAATAGGTAGTAGTCGGTTACTAAATCGCTAAATTTTGTTTGCTAGAAGATTATTTAAAAGAAATTTTATTCCTTTACATTCCCAGTGGAACATTGGACTTCAAGCTAGAGCTTTGAAGTTTCGGTAGCAGTGGTACTTCTTTTTATGGAATGGGGTTGCTAACCTCATTCTAAACCTTCCTTCTTAAACAGTTTTATTAATGGCTTCTCTAACCACATGATGCGCGGTTGGCGAGAATTGGATTACTGTGCGACCAACACAATTAACCTGTCATATGCTCTGATGGCGTTCTGGTGAATTTTGTTGCCAGATCTGCCTAGGGCGATGGGGTAGTACGCGACCTGATGGTTGTGTGCAAGGTTTGGAGCAGGCTGTGTGCTATATGCATGTACCTTGCCCTGATAATAATAATAACAATAATAATTGCTCAAAGATATTCCGATTGAATGTCCCCTTAAATTCGAACGGTTTCATAGCTATATCTGAACACAAGAAAATACTAATAATGCAGAGATAGTACAATGAAAGTGGACATACCTACTGAACGGTAATATAAAACTTTTCACTATGACTTCAGAGAATGTGAAGCTTTCAGCCTATGGAAATAGATTTTGAATGAAGTTGACATAAGGCGTTGGGTACAATTTTGTTCAAACCGTTATGAAAACAACAATATTATGAGGATATCTTCATGCAGTTAACCTTCTTTAATTTTGGTATATATGCCTGACAAGTTTATGCTGCACAATGAATCTCATACTTCCTGCATATTCATTATAATGCACTTGTTAACAAGCGGTATCAATATTTAATTCACAGTTTCATAGTGAAGAATGAGTTGTCTACAATCAATAAGCTAAGCTTGGCATTACTGATTATCTAATTCTAAGAAGGCAAGCATTATCAAGAACTGACTTTATAATCCTTGTCTCTAATTACTTCTTTTCATCAGTTACTAAATTTGAAAATAAAGTTTTGAAGGGAATAATTAGCATTCGAAATAATTAACTCTCTTGTTTTCAATTTTCTCTATTTTCTTTATTTAGGGATAACATTGCTAAGATCAATTTCAAAGGGAAGAAATTTACGCTACATTTGAAAACTCCCACTGTAAGTTATTTCATTAGGAAAGTTAATCTGGACTGTTTGCAGAACTATTGAGTGTATTATTTTATTATTGTCCCCTTGTGTTCCAAGTGAAACATACGGCTTCAAAAACATATCTCCACTTTCGTCTTTTTTCCGCTCTCCTCTTCATCTGGGTCCACGATTGCTCGAAATGTCTTATCTCCTTCATGTCACCCTCACACTGATGACCCACTCATCACTACCCATTGGTATTCCACTCGAGGGCATGGAGTGCGATGTCATTCGATGGTCTTCTCAAAGTATGCCCAATCCATCTCCATTTTTTCCCACATATTTGTTAAGCGATAGGTTCTAGGTTGGTTTTTTCCCAGCCGGAGTTTCTTGTTGCTAGTTCTTTCTGGTCACCCAGCCATTTGATCTTCAATATGCAGCCAGTGAAGGAAGTGAATTTTTATAAAAGTTTGTCGCTAGTTGTTGGAAATCCTTTTCGTGACGCGTAGCGCAAGTTTCTGACCCATATAGAATGAGTGACTTGACATTGGTGTTGAAAATCTGAATCTTGTTTTCTACGTCGTGGAGTGCAGAAGATTTTCAAACTGATTTCAAGTTGGTGAGGGCGTATCTTGCCTTTCCGATTCTGGCTGGCTTTGACCAACCACACCGCCTGTGGTTGAAACAAAGCTTACTTCCTATATGAGTGAAGGAAGTAACCACTTTCAGATTTCTCCCGTTGATAGTGAATGATACTGCCTTTTGTTACCTTCATCACCTCCGTCTTCTCTACATTCACCTCAAGTCTTGTCTTTGCTGCCCGCCTCTTCGGCCAGTTTGTTGGTTTTCGCCTGTAAGTCTTCTAGTTAGTGTAACATTAAACATAAGTAGTTGGTGAAATCCAGATCTTCTTATTGGTCTAGTGTATTTCCATCTTCTCACTCCCACACACAGTCTAACACATTGTCCAGTCCACCACAATTAGAAATATCATCTTTGGTGATAACAGGCAGCCTTGTCTTACTCATATATTCACTTTAAAAGCTTCCTTAAGTTTTCCGTTATGGATCGCCTGACACATGGCATTTTCATATAGCCAGCTTTTGAATGAGGTTTATAATGAACTTGGGCATGCCGTAGTGTTGAAATAGTTTCCAAATTACTTCTCAGTCAACGCTATCGAAGGCTATTTCGAAGTCGATGAAGGTAGTTAAAGTAGAGGTTTGACTGCCATTCTATGCTTTATTTGTTGATAGTGCGTAGAGCTGCAACTTGATCAGCACATAATTTGCCTTTACTGAATGGGGCTGGTTCCAGCGTGTGAGGTTCCATATCCAGTGCACCTTTTATTCTCTCCAGGTTGACGCGACTTAGTATTATAGTTGACGTGAATAGAAGGATGATTCCACGGCAGTTCTTGAAGAGACGTAAGTCTCCCTTCTTTGGTAGCTTGATAAGGTAGCCTTCCTTCCAGTCCACATGCACCTTTCTTTCCTTCCAAACCTTTTTCAATATTGATGTCAGCATATCTGCTGCAGTCTCTAAGTCCGTTTTTAGTGCTTCAGGGAAACTCCATCTGGCCCTGCCGCCTTTCTGACTAGCCTTCAGTAGCTTGATTCCATTGAAGATTTCTACTTTTGTTGGTGGATTGGTGTGCACTGGCAGGTGGTTCTGTGAGTGCTGTTGGTGGTATCCAGCGTATTAACAATGTTAAGTTATATACCTTAAACTTGCTTCATTTTATTGCACATTTGTTCATTCTTTCACACTTCTGTCATTCTTCGAGCTGGTGATCCCTGAAACAGAACTTATAACGTTACTTCAGTTACTATCATCAGTGCTCTTTCTTGAAGAGAGAAATTCTACTTTTCTGTGTTGGCATTTTTATATGATTTCATTTAAGATAAACGAAATTCAGATGGTCGGTTTTTCCTTTATCCTTCTTCAGTGCGTTGTCGATGTCTGACATATGATTGCTGCATTTATTTTTATTTCTCAGTTCCTCACCAGACTGTCACTTGATTTGATTCAACTTTTCTTATGAAATTTGTAGTATGAATTTTTTTTTCGAATGCTAATTTTCGGGATAAGAATTCTTCCAAATTGGATCTAACTACGAGACTATATCGGCTAGAGAAGTGTTTTACTTTAAATTAGTCTATAACGACTGGCCTGTGCTCCCTGGTTTCTAGTGGTTCACTAACTCAGGTTGTTGTCTACCCCGGTATTCTGTCCACACAGTCACCATTTCTTCCCATTCTGTGATTTATGTATTAATTAATGATTATTCAACATCTTTAATACATTCAAAACACTCCCCTTTACTTTACAACAGTTGGTGTGCAAGGATTAGATTTTCTTTTACAAGTTCGATTACGGACTGATATCAGTTAGAGAAACAAGAAACATTGAAAACAAGCAGGGAGTACTGGACATCTGTTTCATTCTAATTTAGGAATCATCGGCAGTACGCACCCACCACCAGGGTTCGGACCCACGACCTTCTGGTGGGTGTGTACTGCCGATGATTCCCAAACTAGGATGAAACAGCTGTCCAGTACTCCCTGCTTATTTTCAATAGTTCTCTAACTGATATCAGTCCGTGATCGAACTCTATTTTACGTCTGAAAATGATATGTAAGTTCAGCTCAGTGTATTTCGTCCTTAAAGAATTAGCATAAATTGGCTGTTCACTCACTATATGGTGCATTATATCAATAATCGGTCATAATTGCGAAATACTTTATGGCTTGCTGTACACCTCAATAGCAAATACCATCTGACAGTGTAAGATATGTTGCCAAAGTATTTAGACACACAGGAATATCAGTGAACTAACATTTGGACACATTGATTCCAATGTACATGAATAACGTAGTGACAGTTGTGCTAGAATCCTATGTCACCCTTGATCCTATGTCTGAATGGCTAAGCAGAATGTCTTATATCGCCAAAATTGTCAGCCTAACTTTTTCACAAGTCCTTTCAAGGTTTCTACTGAGCCGTCAATCATCAAAGCAACGCGATTACAAGCAAATAAGGCGACAGTTTATGCCTAAAAATAGGTGATTTATCGCACAGTTGGATGACTGTTGCTGTTTTGAGTGGTACGATGTGTGGAAAGTAAGCAAAACATGGTACTGTAGGATTAGTAGCCGGAGAGAGCTTGTTCAGCTCCTCAAAATACACAAACCACAGCGGTGACTGTGTAGTTTCACCCTTTCGCTTTTTTACACTGAATCTCTCTTCACAGCTTACACATTTTGTATTAGAATCTTGAATATATATGTGACTGACTTTTCACATTGGTTTTTCCGTAATTTTGTCCCAAAGCACCTATTCCCAAGAGGCGGTGTTATGAAATCTTTAAGGATAAAGCTTTTAAAATGTAGTGAGTGATCTTAATGTCTCTGAGAATCTCAAGTAAAGTAGATAAGAATCAAAATCTTCTGTCTAAAGACAAGAAAAAGATAGCTACTAAAGAAAAGCTTTTTGTTGCCCATACCAAATCAGTAATATATTTGTTACTTAAGCCTAGCTAAGATAAGCGGATTAGATTAGACCAAAAAAGCTATTTTCTGAACCTCTGGTGTGAGCACACTTCGGTCTCTGAGGATGAGTAGTCTGTATTATCAACAATATCTTTGAGTAACTCAGTCCCAATGTGACTTTCTTTTAATAACCAATCCACAAAGATTCTCTATGTGTCTTACTGCCAAGCGCTGATGGCTACAGAATCTCTAGGTTCAGCGCTTCCTGTAGACTATCACGAATCATTGAGAATCACGCTGGTGTCCGAAATGATAACGTAGCCCAGATATGATATTAGTTACATGCTATTGATTGATAGATGTGTCCAACACAGTCGTAAAAGAGACCAATCAGTGGTCGAATACATCGACACTGTCGTCTCTTAAAAACCTCTGTAAGGCATAAATTATTTCTAGACTATAGATACACTTAATAATGGCTGTGTGCGTCGGTGGCATAGCGGTTAGGACGCTCGCCGACCATGCATATGATCTGGGGATCGACCCCCGGCCGACGCACTCCTTTACCTCGCTAAGCCAGAAATAATGCTGGTGAAGAGGAAAGGTTGGGCATGGGGCTAACAAACCTATCCTGTAAAATGAACACTGCTACAGAAACTTCAAGCCACTAGCTTGAAGCCCTATGTTCCACTGGGGAACGTGAAGGAAAAAATAATAATAATAGCTGTGATAACTGTGTGTAGGCCTTTTTGCGATTGCCTTTTATCCAATCATGAGTAGCTAACGTTATTATGTCTGCTTTAGGCCGAGAGACGCACATTTTTACTTAGTTTCAATCAGAGATAAATAGGAATAAGACAAAATTAGCACAATAGTGAATGTCTAATTTTGTTCTGCTTTAAATTATTGGTTTTGGAATTGTCATTCTCAACTTAAAGGGATTAATATGAACGATATTCAGTCTATAGCGTCATTAAACTGTAATTACTTTATATTCTGAGATTTTAAATCATTTCGCAAACTATAATCGATCTGACGTTAAGTATGTCAACAGTGTATTATAAAACTGTTATCAGAAAATCAAAGTTAATTGCATGTTTACATTGTCGTTTTATCCCTACGTTTTTTTTTTTATTATACTCACATTTATATTTACTATCTTTGAGTGAGTAAATATACTGTATGAATTATTGTATCTTTTAGAAATCAATGAATGGTCACCTTTCATCTATTTCGGGACTATCCACTAGCCCAATTATGAAGTCAGAAAGTGAATTAAAACAACACTATCGTTTTAAGTCAGCTGTAAGCACAAAATTATTTTGGCAATATGCTGTTAGCTGTCATGCATTTTTTCGTGTTCGAGAACCAACAAATGCAACAACGAATCGTTCTGTTACTGGTGCCTCTCAACAACAACAACTACAGCAACAACAACAACAACAAGCACCATCATCACCATCTCCGTCGACTATATCAGCTACAGCACTTTATGCAGCTATGTCACGAGTGGCTAGTGGTTTCCAGCGTTATTTTTCGATAACTCGACGTAGTAGTCTATCAACTGCTACTCCTAATGGTCCAGTTGGCGCGGTTGGTCGTACAATGTCTACATTAATGGAATTGAGAAAGAGTTCACGTGCTTTTGATCGTAGTTTCTCTAGGTAAGACCTCTCAGTGTATATTCGGCTTAATTCAGCTGCTATTTCTTGAATCAATGATTAGTGACATCGCTAGAAAACTATTAATGATTACAAGAATTCGTACTGGCCGCATTATTACTAATCAACAAAGGAGTTAACATCAATTTTTTAGTGTATTGGTGGACGGTGTGCAGGATGCTGCAAAATAGCTGATCTTTAAGACGTTTTAGGTGCTAGACTGTATATGACAGACGGTCAGTGAATATAATTCTTGTTTGAAATAGGTACAGCAAGTATTTAGAACTATAACAGGATGAATGGGAAACTTTCTTAGGACTCAGTCAACCATAGATGTATAACATCACATTTGAATGCAGATATGGGATTTTATAGAAATGTGCAGTCCTCTTAAATATCACTGATGAAGTCTGAAGATCACATTTTATTGAGGTGATCAAAGAATATAATACTTTTGATTAGACAGTAGTAACTAGTGTGATGTGCCTAGTCCTTTGTTTGGTGCAGACTGAATTCTATCAGTCAGGTTTCCAATGTGGTCACCATTCTAGGCAGCTTGCCATGTTGATTTGATGATATTAGATGGTTGGAGGCAATCGGTAGAAAGTCTTCGAAATAGGTTTCGTGCTGGTTTGTGCTCACCAATCAGCAAGGCGTATCTGCAACTGCGTTGAGGGAACTCATGTCCCTTCTGAGATTCGAACCTGAGTCACCCAGTGCTGCAGTCACAGACGTTACCACTGAGCTATTTGGGCTTCAAGCTTGCAGATGCGCCTTCCTGACGAGTGCCAACTAGCACGAAACCTAGGTGAGGCAAGGCTTCCTGCCGATTGCCTCCAACCAACTAATATAAAGAATATAATGTATTACTTTCAAAAGGGTTGAATTTTAGTTGCCTGGTACACGCTTGAATTAGCCAGACTGCCATTTGAGTAATGGGTTATCAGTGAAGATCAAATGTAAACCTAGGTTGCAGCAAGATTCAGTCCAGGAGCCTGCAGATTACTAGTCCATTGTTTTACCTCCTGAATGATGAGATCCTGTTGCTTACCTGGTCATAATTTCACTGTAATCATCAAAAGTTATACCTAGCTGTCATCTGACTACTAGTTTGTTACAACTCTAGCTGTCCAGCTGGATCTTCTTTCGCAATTCCAATAATAATGGATCATTAGAATGGGATCACTGCGTCGGTGGCATAGCGGTTAGGACGCTCGCCGACCATGCACATGGTCCGAGGTTCGATCGCCGGCCACAGATGCACTCCTTTACCTCGCTAAGCCAGAAATAATGCTGGTGAAGAGGAAAGGTTGGGCATGAGGCTAGCAACCCCATCCTGTAAAATAAACAAAGCCACTTGCTTGAAGCTTGAAGGAAAAAAAATTAGAATGGGATCAGGTTGTTGGTAATTAGTGATCCTGTCGAGAAGGAAATGAGAATGGACACCTGCCAATAACGCAAGGTAGTAATTTGTGAATCGACAGAATTTTAAAAATTTAAAACTCTAGGTCGAAAATAGTGATCACCTTTAGTCCTGTTCTGTAAAATGAGTTGCAAATTATCACTGATAATGACTTTAAGGCGAGAAAATGTTTGACAGTTCCATAACTTCAAAAGTTCTCTGGTTGACTAAAATATCTTGACGTTTTTAACCAGACCTATTGCAGATAGGGTACTCTGAGATTGGAATTCTCGGTTTTGAAGCTTCAGTAGCAATGAGGTCGTCTCTTCCAAGTATCTGAGCAACATCGTCTCAACTAAAAGCGGCATGGAAGGGGATGTTAGAGCCAAACAGGATCCTGTAGAGAAAGCAGGACAGGTGTTCATTACTTTGAAGTCGGTGGACAGACCTACAGCACTTAGTACGGGAAAGAAGATCCCAGAAGAAGAACATCAACACTAATGTCCGATAGTTCTTGACTGTAACCGATTCCTTCAAAATTACTTGTCCATTGTGCTCAACTTTCACTTCTGTCGTTCAATGCTTGGACATTGCCTTAAGATGTTTTACTGAAAGGGGTGAATAAAATGGTGAAATCACTCGTATACTTCAGATTAAAGCCCGTTTATGTTTATAATTCAGGTGATGCATTGTTTTAAACTATAAAAATGTACTAACAAAACTTTATCGTTTATTTTCCTCGCTCTACAGATCACACAGCAGGCGAAGTTATCATCTTTCACAGGTCAGCCCTACAAATAATCCAGTGCAAAGCCTTCCTCCCTTGTGTAAGCCAGATGTTTCAACTATTTCACCTTCTACAAATCTCTCAGATTCAAATACAACCGGTAACCAATCAAAATCTTATGCACAAATACCTCCTGGTGGTGGTAGTGGTGGTGTGAAAAACTCCACTTCTGTAAACAGTGGAATATTCAGTGATACTAAGGTGTCACGTTCAAGTCATCGAAGTGCTTTTATCCAGAATCGAGATTCAAATAACACATCACTGTCGAATACATCAGCTAGTGCTAGTGGTAAAATTAAGAAATTAATAAGTTTAGCTGATGTGGAAAGCTCTACCAATATCAGTCGCTTATCTAGTCAAACGAAACAGACTTCTAATGAGGTAATTATTGATTATTTTTTTTAATTTTAGTATCACTTGTTAGATTTTGTCATGAACTAACATTAGATAAAGAAGCCAGTGGAAACCAAGGTGTACTGGTTAGTTGTGTCGTCCTATTCTAGGGATCTTCATCGGTGTGCACCCATGAGCGCACCAGGAATGGAACCCAGAACCTTCAGGTTGAATATTCAGTCACTTAAGCCCGAATTCAGTGGTTCGTGATGTATAACTTTGTCAATTTGATGAGCATTCACTTCACCCTGACATGGTGAAAACCTCCGGTGACGACTTCTGACTACAGCTTCACGACATCTCTCCAGTAGCCGCCAATGAGCTGTAGTGAGAAGCCGTAGCCAGTGGGATTTATCATGTGAAGGTGAATTGGAGGCTAATAGAAGTCATTGGTTAGGAGTAAAGATATATCACGAGTTATTGAATTGACTGAATGATCCAACGAGCTTGGTCTTGTAGCCTGAAGGTTCCAGGTTCCATTCCTTGTGAGGTTATGGATGCACACTGATGAAGAGCCCCAGGATAGGACGATACAGCCATCTAATTCTCCTTGGCTTTTAATGCTCTCTAAATGATGGTGCTTATTATTTATTATTATTATTATTTCCTTTAGTTCCTAGAGGAACATAGGGCTTCAGCCATGCGTCTCCATTGCGTTCGGTTCTCTGCTAGAGTTTTCACCTGGCTCCAGGTCTGCCCACACGTTTTCATCTCCTCTTCACATGATCTCCAAGTCACCCTCACACTGACGACCAACTCGCCGCTTCCCTTTCGGTTTCCACTCGAGCGATGGCTTGTCTAGTGATGTCACTTGATGGTTTGTTTCCTCAGAGTATGGCCATTCAATCCATCTCCATTTCTTCCTGCCTATTTGTTTCACAATCGGTTCCTGGTTGGTTCGCTCCCAGAGATCTTTGTTGCTGATCCTTTCCGGCCATCTGATCTTGAGTATTGAGCGAAGACATCTGTTAATGAAGGTCTGTAGCTTGTGTGAGGTGCTTTTTGTGACACTCCAAGTCTCTGATCCGTATAGTAGTACTGACTTTACATTGGAGTTGAAAATCCCGATTTTATTTTTGACGCTGAATGATGTTGACCTCCACACAGACTTCAGAGTAATGAAAGCTTGCCTTGCTTTCCCGATCCTTGCTTTGATATCCTCGTCAGTTCCGCCTGTAGTTGAAACAATGCTTCCCAAGTAGGTAAAGGAGGTAGTTTCTTTCAGGTTCTTTCCATTTATGCTGATTGCTGTCTGTTGTTTTTGGTGTTGGCCAGGGATCTTCATCACCTCCGTTTTCTCTATGTTCACCTGGAGTCCTATCTTTGATGCTTCTTCTATGGCCAACTTGTTACTTTTCACTTGCATATCTTCCAGTTTGTGGGAAATCAGACATATATCATCGGCGAAGTCCAGATCCTCCAAGTTCTTTGTGTGAGTCCATTTTATGCCTGTTTCCTCATTGCCCGCTGTTTGTCGCATTATCCAATCTACCGCAATCAGGAAAATCATTGGCGATAGTAGGCAACCCTGTCTTACTCCTGTCTTCACTTCGAAGGATTCCGTGAGCTTCCCGTTGTGGATTACTTGGCATGCAGCGTTGTCATACAACTGTTGGATGATGGTGCTTAGGGACGAATTATTACAGCTGAAATTAATCCAACACCCCCACCACGTCACAAACCCATTCATCTAAAGGTCATTATCACGTTTTTCTATTCCTGTAGTTTAGTTCACTAAAATTAATGTTTCATTCGATGTTATTAGTAAAGGATTCATTTTGAATTTTTGTTCTTGTCTTAATAATCATAACAAAATCTCAGTAAGAATCGGTCCCAGTGTAACGATAGAAGATATAGATTCGATAAAGAATGGATTTGTTACAGGATTTTATCATGAGCTGACATCAGTTAGAGAACCACTGAGAAATCTAGGAGTACTGTCAGATAGCTGTTTCCCCCCTGGTTTGGGACTCTTCATCAGTACGCACCCACCGGCGGGATTCGGAGCCAGGACCTTCTGGTAACGCGATGAGCTCGTAGACCAGTAGGGTATAGCAGGTCGGGCGTGAGGAAAAATACTGGTCGAAGACATTGGCTATTGGTCACACTATGTCGTGAATTCACGGACCATTGAAATGTGTCTCAGTGGCTTAATGGTCTGCGAGCTTGTCTTGTAAACAGAAGATCCTCAGTTCAAATCCCGCCAGGTGCATACCACTTGAAGAGTGGCAAACTACGCTGACGAAACAGCTTTTCACTCCGTCCAGGTGTTCCAGTGGTTCTCCAACCAATGTCATCCAGGGACGAAGTCCTGTAAGCAATCAAATCCCTACAAACCAATCCTTGGAAGGATGATTTATGTGTAAACTGGTATCTTTATAGTTAAATTATGTACACCTTATCTTCAAGGCACCACTTGCACAAATCATCGGTATTGTGCTACTTCTACCCTTCATATTGTGTATTTCTTTGTGTTCCTTTGACGTCCCCCATGTACCTCCACAACACTGTATCATTCGCTTTCTCTGACATCGAATCTATCTCCCTGTTATTTGATGTTTTTATGCCGATGAACGCCTGTTTATATACTACTAATAAATCTTATCAGTAGCACATACCACGTCAGTAGTGCAGATGTATTCATATCCTTTCCTTCTAATTTGTTATCTGCTTCATATTTACCTTTTTTCGTCTCAAAAACTTGATTATGTCGTTTCGCATTTTTCTGTCTACCTTTTCATGGTTTCTACTCAATGCGCATATTTGAAGTGTGGCAACTTTACCCACTGGACCGTACTGCTAGTCTATATGTTGTTAGTGTGTATTTGTCTGTCGTTATTAGGAGAATACTCTACTTATCTGTACATGCAGGTGCTATTAATTATTTTTTTTTTGTCTTGTTACTTTGCCTGGGGTAGTATGTCTGTTTGGTACTTATTTGTATTAGAAAAAGCCTTTACTATTTTTTAATGGGTAGAAAATTTCTAATCCATGTCTGCACTTTCTACTAGTCTCAGAATTTTTCATGACTAAATACTACCACTCAACTATACATCCTATACATGACTGAGTCCGTGATCATATAGTTCGCTAGTGAGTACACAAATGCTTGGCCACTTAGTTAATATTTTAATATTTCTGTCCCCTTGTAATTTAGGTTGATCTTCATTTTATTCTGTCTGACGACCAAGTCACATCACTTCACGAAGAATCAGAGAATGCTGTCTAGAAGGCTATTATCACTGAGTGCGACGAATAACTTTAAATTGAGTTCTTTTCTAACTACGAATATTTTTAGGCATGTTACAATGAATGAATGGAAGAGCTTGTATGCATCACATTCACTCATGGTGGTTTAAAATCCTAATTATTGAAGAATGTTAATTTTGTTTTCAAGTTTTTTTAATCGCTTATGCATTACTTAGCATTGCTTTCTACCACTTTCGTAAAGAAGCGGAAACAAGTAATCTACTTGATTCGTGTAATTTCTTTTTTATTCGGTAAGGATCTCAACTGTTACTTCCCTTTTTTGCGTTTTATTTTGCTACTATAAGTCAGTAAAAGAGATGAACAGTTCCCTTCCTTGTTCAAACTGACCCTTCCCTCTTATTCAACTCCCTCTCTCTTTCGCGCGCGCGCTTGTTGTAATGTTTAATGTAAGCAGGTTGAATAAGGGGAAAAAATCACGAATTTTATGATTTCCGTTTCTTGTCTTTTCACTTCGCATTGGTAATATTTTTGAATATTCAACAAGAGGCTAGTTACAAGACATGTTCTTCTACTCAGGAGGTTATTGAATGCTTACAGTATTTGGTTTTTGTTTGAATTACCATAGTTTATGACTTTTATTTCATCCTTTTCCGTTTGTCATTATTAATTATTTCAGTAAACAAATAATAATAATTATAATCAGAGGGTTGTTAGTCTCTTTTCTGTCAAGAAAAGTTCCGTGAACCTTGCCTTTTGCCAAAGAGATGACCGAAAAACCTCACCCGACTTATTACTTCATTCTGTTTTATCATATAGAACAAGATGATTGGTATAAAATTAAACCATATCGTTGTGGCCAACGTAGCTATTAGATTTTTGGTTCGTGAGATTAAATTCCTAATCGAATCCCAATAGTGTTTGACTGGTTAAGAGACGTCTCAACCTATATTAATTAGACAGAGAACAATTTTTGATAAATAAGAAGTTCAACAGATTACAGTTCCACGTATTGAACGGGTTGTCAGGTAGTACACCTAGATATAGTTGTCTTCATAGGAACAACTCAGATAGTAAATAAACATGGGCAAATTGTCCTTTGTCTGTGTAGCATAAGACTATAGAATACAAAACGATAATCAGAGCTTAGCTGCACAAGAAATCTTTGGTTAAAATCCTTACTGGTTTTTTTATTCCTTTACGTTCTTCGTGGAACATAGAGCTTCAAGCTAGAAGCTTGAAGTTTCGGTAGCAGTGGTGTTTATTTTTACGGGATTGGGTTGTTAGCCTCTCAGAGCCAACCTTCCCTCTTTACCAGTCTTATTATTGGCTTAGCGAAGTAAAGGAATGCATTGGCCGAGGATCGAACCCCAAACCACATGAAGCGTGGTTGGTGAGCATTTTACCGCTGTGCCACCGACGCACAAAATCCTTACTGGTTAAATCGTCATTAAACTGTAACTCCTCAAAAAATGGTTGTGCTTTTTGTCAGTGGGTGTTCTTTGCATTAGGCTTTCCATTTCATGTACTTATTCGTAGCACTTTGCTGTTTTCGTTTCTCAATCGATATGTTATGTGACTTTTATTACTCACATGTATCCCAGAGTTATATTTCAAAAATGGAATCTTGATTTGTAATTTAAAAAAATACCTAAATGATAATAAACTACTCGCCACAAAAATAATGATGACTTCAATATCACTAGAAGTTCGAATAATAAATAACACTCAATAAATACCAGTGTGTGAAAGTAAAATGCAAATTCATCCAGTGAAGTTTTTCACTTACAGTAAATTTCGAACAATGGAACAGACTATGAGCTACAATTTTTTCTATGAAGGCTAATCATTATCATTATTATTAGTAGTAGTGTTACTCCCTTAGGTACCGAGTGGAACATAGGGCTTCAACAACACATCTCCACTTTGTCCTACCTTCTGCTGACCTCATCAGCTGGGTCCACTGCTGCCCGTGACTTCTCATCTCCCCCTCCTCCTCTTTACACGATCCCCTCCATGTCACCCTCGCATTGACGACCTACTCGTCCACTCGAGCGTTGCCCTTACACGTGATTTCATTCGATGGCCTCCCCAACGTGTACTCACTCCATCTCCACTTTTTTCTACATATTTTTTGGGCAATAGGCTCTTGGTTAGGTTGTTCACATAGCTTCTTCTTGTTAATTCTTTCTGACTGGCCATTTGATTTTCCATACGGAGCCAGCGAAAGGGGTTGTTGTTGGTAAAAGTCTACAGTGGTCTGTTGGAAATGCTTTTTGCGATGCACCAAGTCTTTGAAATTGTTAGGGGAACGGACTTGACTTTGGTGTTGAAAATTCGAATCTTGTTGTTTATGCCACGGAGTGCAGAAGATTTCCGAACTGATTTCCAGGTTGATGAAGGCGTATCTTGCCTTTCCAATGCTGGCTAAATTTTTCATCTTCAATTGTTCCGCCTACCATACTTACTGTCTAAATAAACGGAGGAATTTCTACCGATGATGGTGACTGGTGCTGTTTGTTATTTATCTTCATCACATCCGTCTTCACATTCTCTATGTTCATTTGGAGTCTTCTCTGCCAGTTTTTTGGTTTTCACCTGCTAATCTTCCGGTTTGTGTGACATTAGACATAAATCATCTGCGGAATCCAGATCTTCTAGAGTCTTCTTATCGGTTCAACGCATTCCTGTCTTCTCACTCCCCAGATATAGTTGGGTGCATAATCCAGTCCACTGCAATTATAAATAACACCGGTAATAATAGGCAGCCTTGTCTTACTCCTGTATTCACTTCGGACGCCTCTTTGAGTTTTTCCTTGTGCATCACCTGAAACGTGGCATTGTTATATAGCGAGCTGTTGAATGAGGTTGATAATGATTTTGGGCACTCTATTCTGTAGTGTTGAAGTAGTTTCCAAATAGCTTCGTATTCAACGCTATCGAAAGCGTTCTTGAAGTCGATGAAGTTGAAGCAGGGAGAGGTTTGACTGCCATTCTACGCTTCATTCTGTGATGGTGATGCGTGGAGTTGCAGTTTGATCAGCACATGATTTACATTTTCTGAATCCAGCTTGTTCCCGGTCGGGGAGGGGTGGAATTCTGCATCCACGGCATCTTTCATTCTCTCCAGGATGACGTGATTTAATATTTTACTTGGCACGGGCAAGAGCACTATTCCACACCAGTGCTCACAGAGTTGGGCATAAGTCGCCCTTTTTTAGTAATTTGACAAGGTTACCTTTCTTCCAGTCGGAAATCATTTTTCCTTCCTTCCAAACCTTTTGTAATAATGGCGTCAGCATATCTGCTACAGTCATGAAAACTAATCGTACCACCCAATTATCCAGGCTGAAGCAGACTGAACAGGATTCGACTAAGAGCCTGTCGGCTGAAAGTCAATTACTTAAGCCAGTTGCCCCATCTTTAATAGAAGAGACAATTCTATAATACAATTATACGACTGTTAAATCTTGTCTAGGATTTCCATCTTTCTTGTATCGGAAATTATTACTTCATATTCTATGTAGTGATATCATTTAATACAGTGAAATGAGAACTACTTTGGTCTTTCTCTTTTCACTTCATAATGAGTTGCATATGTTACTTAATAGGTTCCTTTTTTCATATATTTCTGAAATGATAAGGTGGATAGTTGAAAAGCTGTTCACAGTCACACAAGCTGTTTATTGTTGAATTGAGAACAGTAAATATGTTACTCCGGCTGAAATCCAATTGCTCTTTGTTGGTATGGTGAACTGTTTGTATTTGTCTTTCAATCAGTAAAGACTCTGTACACTGTGAAACCCCATTGAGGGTAACAAAACAGTCTTCAGTGAATTTGGTTAGCATGTGAATACCGTACCCCTGTATGAACGACAAATTATTTTCTATTCTAAGTACATTAGATATTTATCAATGCCTTTGATTTCGTTTTAATATATTTGACCTCATTGATTCGCTTTACTTTAGAAATATAGGCTCTCTATGTGGATGCTTCGATACTACAAGGAACAACAACTAGAAGTCACACGTTCGGCGGTGGCTGGCAGTGGAATCCATGACGCACGTTTATTCCCATCTGGAATAAGGGGATAAAACTCTGGCATTTAAAGTGATGAGCACTGGGTTTTAATCTCAGTGAAAACACCATCACTCGTTGTAGTGCAAGTACACCCAACTGACGAGTCTGAAATAGAACGAAATGTGTGTTCTGGATTCTATTTCTAGCCACTACCAAACAAGTAACTCTGAGTTCAATAATGATTCTATTCTTTGAGTTCAATTTTTTCCCTTTATATTCCAAGTGGAACATAGGGCTTCAGGCTACAGCTTTGAAGTTTCGATAGTAGTGGTTTTATTTTTACACCCAACCTTCCCTCTTTACCGGCCTTATCACTGACTTAGCGAGGTTTAGGAATAAGACCTCGGACCACGTGAGGAGTTGGTGAGCGTTCTGCCACTGAACCACGGATGCTGTGAGTTTAATTAGTGACGTAAATCTGCTTCATTCCTCGTTATTTGCATAATGACGTTTGAAATTTTCATGCACTATTCAAAATAAATTATATACGGAATTGTAAATTATTCCTTTTGACAAATGTGACTTTGATACAGACCAGAAATGTAACTGAGTTCTCAGTATTATACAAAACTGTATGTCTTTTGTAGGGAGACAGACTGAATCCAGTTCAATTCTTATCAGAAATTGAACCACAGAATGTGAAACAGCACTTAACAGTTATTCACAGCCTCTCAGTATGAATGGAGCTATAGAGTAGGACAAAAAAGACTGAATTCAGTAGCATCTTTCTCCAATTCACTGTAGTTTTCCTGGTATGTTACTCCAGTTATCTGCAAGTAATACGCTTTAATAGTTAAAAATCGCGACTGTGATCAATAATTGTGACTCATCCTAACGCTAAGTATATTCAACACTGCTGAGATCAAGTTACTTTAAAATATTTATTCAGACTTTTATCTCTTACTTTTCATCATTTGATTTCTTAAGGTACCCTCCCAAAAAACTTCAATCAACAATTCCTCCAGTGTTTTGGATAAGTCCAGTCGGTTAAAACCACATAAACCAAGTAGTCCAGTGGCTAGTGGCGATAGAGCTTCAAGATTAAGTCAACGACGTCATCATCACAATCAACAACAACAACAGCAACACCAAGAAATGGTAAGTTCGAGAAGAGATTCCACAAGTAATTACGACTATAATGTAATATTAAATGTTGAATCAGTCTGGCTCAGTATGCAGACGATGGTTTTATGCAAGACTTTCTTTGGTTCCATCTATTATATAAATGTAACCTTAGGTGGATTGAAAAGTCTATGGTAGTGATAATGGAGCGCAGTGTAAACAGTACATTGCGAAAGCGGACTTTGTTCATTCCCACAAAAATAGCTGACTGGTCTACATTCAGCCGTCTAGAGGTTCTGCCTTGAAGATAGGAAAGGACACCATGGTTTGGCAGAATTTTTCAAAGTTAATTTCACTTATTTTTCAAAAGATGAAATAACCTTATTCTTTCCAATGAACTGTGATCAAGATTTGACCGAATAGTTTCATAATAACTGGATGCCAATTGAGAAGTAGACATATGTAAAAAAGTTATATCTGTAAAATCTTAGCGATATCGAAATGATTAATTCCAACGTTTCACTCGACAAACTGGTCCGAACTTCTTCCGGGAAACCCGACACATTCGGATAGGTACCTAGACTACTATTCAGTACATCCCTTTACCACCAAGGTAACTGTGGTCAAGAATCTGATTAACAGAGCCGAACGTCTAGTTACTGAGGAGGAAGAGATCACCAGGGAACTAAAATTGATTCAGTTCACTCTTGAATCAAATAATTACCCTAAAGCCTTTATGAAAAGATATTTAAAATGTCAAGATAAGTATGGATCAAAACCTGTTGCTAAAAAATGGGTTTATACAGTGGTGATTCCTTGCCGCAAAGAAACATTGGATGAGATAAAGCGAATCCCTAACGATCATGGCATAAGAGTGTATTTTCGTGCAGCTAATACCTTACGCTGATCACTGGTAAAGGTTAAGGATAAAATCGGAGTATAAAACCAACAGAATTGTGTGTACCAGATCAACTGTGGGGATTGTGTCGCCATATATGTAGGAGAAACTTCCAGACAGGTAAATGTAAGATTAAAGGAGCATAGACAATGTTTAAAGGTGGTTCCAAAGACCGCCTCAGACTCCAAGAAGCCAGAAAACAGATCAGTGATTGCACTGCTTTCGATAGAAAAGGGACACAAAATCAACTTTGATGGGACGAAGGTTCGTATAAAGAAGGATTGACTGAAGAAGCCCTACATATATGGATGAATCCCAACAGTTTGAACAGACGTGAAGGTGTAATGTTGGCTAATGCATTGCAAATCCCGATTAATAAATAAAAAATAGACATGTATCACTAATTAATCATACTTGGTCTAAATTCCCTATTGTCTATATCTTCCTATGAAGAGGTTGACAAATGTTTTACAACTGTTTACCCATACACACATACACACACACTCACCATTGTATATAATTTTCATATTCAGTTATCTACGGTCATGGACTCTAGTCGAGCGTAATCACTACAACTCTGATGCAAAAGTACACACTGTTCAGATTGTTTAACAAAAGTACATAAACTGATATTATTCTGAGGTCAAATTTTGATCACAGTTCATGCAACATTTTTTATGATATTTTGATGTCTGTTTCATGAGTCAATATGATTGGATAAAGTTTTTAAAAACAAAAGATGTCCTTTTTGTATGTACACCTTTCATGTTGGGCTACGGATTGATATCAGTTAGAGAACCACTGAAAACCAGTAAGTACTGTCCAGCTGTTTGATCCTAGTTTGTGACTCGACGGCGGTACACACCCAGCACCGGGGTTCGAACCCAGGACCTTCTGGCTACACGGCAAACTCGTATAGAATTCAGTCATTGGGACCCAACTCAACAACCCATGAATTCCAACTTTTACCAATTCGTGATTTTAGCCCGACCACCACCTCATTGGTGGGAACTACATCCTCCCTCCCGGCTGGACGGACCCCACTGGTCACAACTTCTCACTAGAACTCTGGGAAACTCCGTCCTGTAGCAAGTCACTAGCGAGCATCAGACTAATTTTCAAAAATTACTTTGTAAGGATTGTATTTGTTTCAGGAGGTCACGCTAAAATCACGAATCCATAGAAGTTAGAATTCATAGCCCACTGAATCAGGTTTCAGTGGCTGAATGGTATACGAGCTTGCCTTGTAACCGGAAGTTCATGGATTCAACCCCTGGCGGTGGGTGCGTACTGCCGATGAATCTCAAACCAGGACGAAACAGCTGTCCATTACTCCCTGCTTGTTTTCAATAGTTCTGTAACTGATATCAATCCATGGTCCAACATTAAACAAATACAATCCCTACACAAACCAATTCTTGAGAATAAAAACCTTTGTTATATTAATTTTGATTAATTTCCCTGAATAAGTACTAACCAGTTTGCCAAACGAAACGTTGGAATTACTCATTTCAATTTCGCTCAGATTTTTACATATATTAACATTCTTTCACTGATCAAAACATCAAGTCACAAGTGAGACTGATCATGTATTTTATCGTTTATTTTAATCCACATGCAGGATCCCCGGGATGTTGTTTTTTTTCCGCTAATTACTAGAATTCGTAGTTTTCATCAGGGATGGTATGTTTATATCTTACATCGGTTTGAAATGTTGATAACAAATGACTGTTGAAATGGAATTTCAGGAATGCATTTTTTTTCGCTTCCTAAGAAGAAGCAAAGGAGGAATAAGTCTGACTGTTCGCCACTCAATTCTGGAATGTTGTAATTAGGTGCATTCCGATAAATGTCAACTCAAGTAGTACTTTATATCTAAATTGTTTTATAAAATGCCATTTAACTTCAATGGCGAATAAGATTATTTGGTAGTAGCTATTCGTTGAATTCAGTTACAAACAGAATGACAAGGAGCATTTCAAGTATTTCATTAAGACATCATTAGAAGTGAAATGATATATTTGTACTGATGACTGAATGTATATCGAAAATGTATTTTGCGCTGTCAGACTAAAAAATTACATGGGAATAAAATACCGACTAAAAGGCATCTATAAAAGAGGGAAAAAGCTGCGTGTGTGCGTGAATTTTAGTATTTTTTATATATATACAACTGAATAGGGAAGGGTGATTAGAAGGATAGTGATTCCCATTATTTGTAGACATGTATAAGCACAAAAATAAGCGAATTTGTTTAAATTATTTATCATGCAGAGTTAATCAATGGTTGTAAAGAGTGGGAAATTTAAAATTTCAATGGCTTCACACAACCTATCATTATCATTTTCCCATATGTTTTGGACTGACTTGATGGATATCTCTCCTGTGAAAAATTCTTCGATTTTATGGTTCCAGAGGCTTATAGAATGTCTGTTCGAATACTGTCTTCCACCCAAAGATTCCGTCCATCTCCAGGCTTCGCTACATAGTTGTAGCATTGAGGAGAATGATGTCAAAAGGAGTTTTTCTGATTTTACTGACTGTCCCAGCACACAAAGCCTAGGCTTGAATTCACAGATTACAACAGAGTCCACCATTTATGAATTACAGAATTCACCTCTATTAGTGTCATTCCATTCAACTTCTCTGATCCTTTTAGATGAAGAACTTAGTAGATCTGTTGGACTTGAGTAATTCAGATATTTTGAGAGTCAGGCTAGTGATCCACCTAAATGATTTGTATATTATGAAGTTATTTGAACAAACATCACAAACTGCTCACTTTATAAGCACAATAATTGGCGTTGGTTCGCATCACTGTCAGGAGGACGTTACGGGGCAATCAAAAACTCACCTCTGAAACATCTAGTTAATTTGAATCAAATAGACCTACCGGAATCTTTATTCAAAATTATCAACAAGCTTTAAGCTGAGTGATAAATGATGAGGTAGATTTAGAAATTCGTGTATGGTTAAAGGCTCTGACAATCCATTGATTCAAGTGCAAACTAATATGAATAAAGAAATTTTTGTTTACTTATCTCTACTGTAGTGTCTTTTGAAAATGAGAATTTTCAAATGGTTTGAATTGTGTTGAATTTCATGTGTAGAGAGATTTTCAAATTCTTAAATTACTTAAAAGATGCTCAGAAGTTTCCATAACCCACCTTGTTTATTCCTGAAGGCTTAAAAGGTAAATATTAATGTCAAATTTAGTGTAGATTTTGTCATTAACTAATCTCAGTTAGAGATGTTTAGAAGCCAGCTGTTTCGTCTCAGTTCAGGACTCTTCAGTAATGCATACCCACGACTCCACCAGGGATCGAACCTGAGAACTTCAGGTTACTAGACCAAGGTTGTTGATCATTCAGCTACTTTTGTAGAGCAAGAAGAACAAATGTTGGGGAATGAGTTGAATTCAATTTATATTGTTTCCTGACAGAAATGAGATTGCTTCACTTTTACTATCATATTACCTCTATCATATTTTACTTGCCCTCTCCTATAAGTAAATTCTCCACTACCTTGAACACTATTTATTGTTATGTTGAATAATCTATCTATTTTGTTTTTTACTTGATCAAATTTATAGTGTGAATTGTAATTATAACAACAGTTTTTACCTTCTCCCTGTACTGATTAGTTAGCTCATGAATTATATGATTTTTTGTTCCCATACATATTGGAGTTAAGAGGTTTTTTTCCTTTACGTTCCCAGTGGAACAGGGCTTCAAGTTAGAGGCTTGAAGATTCAGTAGCAGTGGTGTTTATTTTTACGAGATAGGGTTCCTAGCCTCATGCCCAACCTTCCCTATTAACCAGTCTTATTACCGGCTTGGCGACGTGAAGGAGTGCATCGGCCAGGGATCGAACCCCGGACCACACAGAGCGTGGTCGGCTAATATTCTACTGTTGTGTAACCGACGCACGAAGTAAAAAATGTGAAAAGAGTTATTTCACCTTGATTTTACCATTCAACATCGTCATTTAAAAAATAAACAATAGCTTGCTAAGGTGATTATCAAAACTAATAAACACAGGCTCTCAAAGACAACGAAATCTCTTATTGAAATCGAATGATGTTATCAAAAAACCTGAAAGTTTATCATAGACATTCTTTTTGTCATCACGGATTTAA